CTTCCATTTTTTGATTTTGAATAAATGAACTAAATGGAGAATTGTTTACATACCACGTATGAATATGTTGCTTTGGTAGAAAGCATCGTTCTGGAGGAGTATCTGACTTGAGATTAATGCCAAGATCTTTTGGAATGTGAAGATATGATCTTCCTTGATGGTCATATGCATCTTTAACTGAAAAATAATTACATTTGGTAAAGTTTAGGAAACTACAAAAGTATGAAAATTTAACTTATTGTGTAATGTGGATTTCTCTTCTGAAGGTTTCATATCATCTTTCTTGGATTTGTTTTTCTTTGATAATTCATACTCCTCAAGGATTGTTAACTCTTCCTGTATTTATCAAGGTAAAACGCCAGAAAAATAATTGTTTCATTTGAAAAATATCTTTATAAAACTCTTTAGTTGGGTAAATGAAATACCTCAGATGGTTTAGCAATAGTTTTTTCATCAACAAACTTACTCCATGGTCCTATAGGATAAAAGAGAATAAGAGATAGTAGGACAACCATTCAAAAGTTATGATTATTGTAGTAATCGTACCCTAGTATCCATCAATCACACCAGGATCTCCCCTATCATCTCTCTTCCTCTTATCTCCCACCCGCTGTTTTGTAGCTTCAAACACAGTCTATCCCTTGCTATCCTTTGCTTTCTCAACATCCCCAACAAACCTTAATGGATAACAATTGATATATACATAAAACATTACCAAGTCTATTTACTTATAATTAAGAGCCATGTACTACATTATGTTTTTAAGGTAATTTCATGACAAAGCACATTCATCATATTCCACTCAAATAAACATTTATCAGCTTGAATCATTTCAAAGTAATTGAGTGATATAATACTTCAGCATTATTCTATTTCAGACTTGATGCATTCACTGAGGAACACGTTTGATGTAGGAGTGTTTAATACCCTCTACATATTGCGAATTATGTATAAAAAGTTAGTCCGGAAACTAATAAAGGATGAAAAAGTTGGTTTGTATTGGGTTTTAGTATCAATCTACACTACAATAAATCATCCCCACAATGTAAAACACATAAAATTTTGGGGAGATGTGCATTCCTGCACTAACATGACTATCTTTAAAGATGTATGCTATATCATAGTTATGCTATAAGCACATTGTAACAATATTATATACATATATTGAAACTAACTTCTCTTCAATGTGAGCTGTGTCATCACTTGGATCTAATGCATAACCTGTGATTTATTAAAAATAAAAAGATCACACATAACTCATTAAAAAATACATTTTTTCTCAAACTATGCTTGCTTTTTCTCTTACCGTAACTTGAGAATGTTTTTAGTTGATTATCAAATTGAAATTTACTGATATGAGCTGGCTCAACATAGCCAGACAACATATTTTTAAGTGCTCTTCGCTGCTTCGTTTTAAATGGATTTTGAGGTCCAATGTAAAATAGTAGACTTCTTCAAAATCATGATTTTGTCTATGTGCATGTAAATGGTGCCAATGATTAAATTATTAACGTACCGAAGCAGAAAAGAGTTCGTCATACTTTGCATTAAATGTAACTTCTTTCATTGAAGGATCGATGTGTCTTCTCTAATCAATTCCTTCTTTTAAAGTATAGCAAATCGTATCATAGATTTAACCTTGGTGTTGGTAGTTGCCGAGTTAGGATTTTGGATAAAAACTATTACACTTTACCTTAGCATCAACAATTGGAGCGCTGTTTAAAAGAAACTTAGATTTTAGAGCATCCATATTGACATGGCTCTCGATTGACTTTTCATCATCTTTAGATTTATCATTATTACTTCTCTCTTCATCAAAATAATCACTTTGATAAGACAACAACGATTTAGGACTTGCAGATAAATCGAGAGATCGGAGCACAGAAACCATATTGAAATTTGTCACGTGAAACGTGAACTGAAATATAAATATTAAATGTCACCATAGTTACGCGCGCGAATTGTTTTATCGTCTTGCCGCGAAATACGATTTTACCCACTTTAACTTTTTTGTAAAAAAACATCATCGTATGCGCATTGTCAACTTTCTTGTTCTCCTTCCATTGTATTGCTCTATAATAAAGCTAAATATCTTAACGTTTTAAGTTCTTTATTATTCGTGAAAAGCGGTATGTGGAATAACAATACGAAGGTATTGCAAGTTTAATTGCTTCATCACACTAAGCATATGCACATACATTAACTGAATTGCAAACACTACTTTCGCTGCAGAGTAAGTCAGAATACATGAAACTACTTGACAACTGCCGTATTGGCAATATTTTGGAAATAATTGGTAATAATTATAACAATATCAGCAGTGTTGTTATTATAGTATTTTAAATTTATAATAAGCTACTAAACATAAACATATTCTGACTTACCCGGAACTTCCACTGCATTGCACTACTTGCAAATTTTATGCAGTTATTTAGGTTATTTAGTTCAGACCTTTGCAGTGCAATGGGGATGGGGTGCAAGGCAACATGAATATAGGCCCTGACATGACATAGGATTAAAGTCTTGCATTAAAAATTCATAATATAGAAATGGAAATTAGTTTTGTTAATTATATGTACATAATTTATTTGGAGGTTTTGTCTCTCAAAAAAGCTTCAAAAAAGATAGAGCCCGTACTGAGCAAGCTAACTAGAGGTCAGGCTTTTGAGTCTTTGTTGCCAAAGATTGAGAAATGGTTTACCAAAGGTGTAAATTGCAGTACAGATGATGATTCAGTTGTTGATCCTTGCCATGTAACATCTATGCCAAGTATGGACCAGTTGCAACAATGGAGAAAAATAGTTGAGGCATCAAGTACAAGCAAAGGAGCATGTATCAACACATCACAAGGAAGGTTAGATATCAATTGCATCACCAATCTGCAGAAATTTCACACCTTAAAAGCATACAAGTAGAAGTCGAAGAGGAAATTGCCTGGTTTTCACAACCATTGAACAAACCAGACACGGTGGTGGAACATCCATCAGCTGCTTCAATTACAGCCTTTCAGAAGCTTTTGTACAGAACCCCATATAGTGAGATTATGAAAGAACGAGGATTGTCATCCAATGAGATGTCCAGGTTATGTGTTGACAGATGGGTGTCAAGTGACCACATATGCTGGTTGACAACAAACCTAAACCAAAAGAAAACAGATACATATTATGTGTACCTCAATGGAACAAAACCACCCACAACAGCCCAACACCATGCTAAATATGAATTCATTTCAAAATTCTGTTTTGCCATAAATGTTGGTAAAAAAAGCAATGGCAACACATTCCTTGGAGATGATTTGCACCCCGGAAACCATTGGGTACTTTGCTATGTAGACACTAATGACAAAAACATTACATATGGGGATTCATTAGGCTGGCAATTTCCGAACACTCTTCTACACATTTTAGATAAATTCATCAAGGCACATAATATTTGCGACAGCATAGCCAACTACTCAGTAACAATGACACATGATCCTGATAGCAGATGCCAGGTTAGAGGAGGACACAAGTGCACAGACAATTGTTCGAAAGCATATCCATTCCAAACATGTAGCAATGTTTGTGGCGTGGTTGTAATGATTATGATGGCTATATCAAGCTATAACTATGCCTTTTTCAAGAGCTTGCTATCAATTTCTAAGCCAACCACAAAGAATAATCCATCAATATACCTAAGCAATCCCACACATTACAGCGCATACTCACGGATTGTACTTGGATGTTGGATCTCAGATAATGTTGTTAACCTGGCATATGTATTACCACAGTTTTGGAATACACTACAAAAAGGGATTTTACCAGAAAATGAAAACACAGCAACAACTAGTAAAATTTCCAATAAATAGAGAATCAAGAGACTCAAAGATCACACCATCAGTCTTCAATAAAATGGTGAAGGATAAAATCATGCAATGTATTTGAGTTCAATGATGCAAATGATGCAGTCAAAAAGGTGTTTGAGATAGCATTGCTAATGTTCTTTTTACTAAATTGTCATTGTTAAACAAGTAATACGAATATACTCACTTTGGGACAAGTAGGACAGATATTTCCTTCATCAAGCTCAGGAATAACACAGCTCAACATGTTTAGTTTATGTCTGTAAATTCTGAAAAAAACAATGACACAAAGAAAGCAATTATGCACTCTTAAACAAATGACATAAACAAAATACAGTGCAAGACAGTAATACTTGAGGAAAAATCCTTTCCCATCATAAACTTTAGCATTTTGATTTCCTCCAATTAAATACATCTCTTAAGATGAGATTCTTAGGCTATAAAATTGACTGCAACTTTCCCAGCAATTCATACGTAGTACAGCAGTGCAATAAATCAGTGACCTACATGCAGTTACCTATATTCTTCAAAAGCATCTATAATGACAGGATACATTTTGGTGTTGCATAAGAAGAGAATATGTGGTTATGATTAAACTCTTCAAATGACTGACAAATGCTTTTATTGATGCCTGGCATTCCATCTGCACAGAATGAATCAATTCAAAAACTCAATTGCAAATGCAATTCTTGGTTTTGTAGGTGTTCCACCCCAAAGGCCAAATTGCAGAAGTTGGACAAACTCTGGAGAGCATGAGCAAAAGTGTACCTCAACAGTACAAAATGCGCCTAAAAATTGAAAAAGAACCAAAATTATAATTGTGTTGAACCAACCCAGCTAAAATGAAAAAACTTTTGTGGCACATTTTACATATAACATACCTTTAACATCAACAACAGAAACACTTCTTTTGTGACGAGCTGTTTGGCATGAACAATCATACACCAGCATGTTCATGAGTTTATATGGCCAAAACATGCTATCCTACAAAGCAATGAATAACCTCGTAGAAATTAGTTCTAATCAATCCCCTTTCCTGCATTCATAAAAATATTAGATTTGTGCTTCTTGGCATGTTTCATAATGTAAACTCTCATTTTATTTTTGCATTTTTTGTTGCAAGTGTTTAGAGAGGTAACTCTAAACACTTTTATAATATCTAGCTCATAAAGGTTACCTTAAATATTTCAACATGATGACAAATATTTAGGGTTGTGTGCATCTTTAACATACAATTCTCACAATACTTTGCCATTGGACCACAATCTCTGCACCTAAATTTTGCTTCATTATCACAATGAATACACTTCAGATTGCTCCAATTTTTGCCAGCAAACTGAAATGTATTCTTTATAATTGAATGTCGTAAATTTTCCCATGCTTTTTGTTTTCTTTCAACTTTCTGGTAATAAGAAGATGATTCTTCACAATCATTGTGAACATCACTTTCAAGATCACTGTTATCTTGTTCCATTCCCAGTTCATGGCCTTCCAATGCACCACAATTATCAGGAATGTTAAAAGAACAGCTTCCTCTATGATCCTCAGTAACCAATTCTGACAAATCCACCTCCTCTCTCTCAACATGGTCATCCTCATCATGATATGTGACAGCTACAGTTGCTTTAAACCTTTTATTGCTCCTACAAAAATTGTCATAAAAATCTATAAAATGAAAATAAATGTTGAAAAGTCTAAAAGCTATAAGGCCGTTATTTGGTGTACATTGGCATCTTTTAAAATTACCAGCAAGAAAATCACAAATCAGAAAATATTATCGATATTACCAATGACACAAGAACATAAGTTAAACGACCAAAGTACAACGTATGTATCTCCCACGACTACCAGCCGACGTTTTGTACCCGTACTTTACCGGCTTTTAGCCACGTCTCATAAGACGAATGGGTGATTTGTTTGGTTGGTAAAACGAAAGGGTTTTTCTTCCGGTATACGGTAGGAGCCTTTTTCCTAGGGGTAGAGTAACATATCTCACGTGACCGGAAACGTTAATCATTTAAATTATTCTACAGAATCGACTACAACGCCGCACCTGAGATATGATGTAGTTGGTTGTGTCTTGTAATCTTTCTGAATTTGTGAAGGTATGTTGATTTTAAACTTTACTTTTCGTTGTTATATTGTATTTTGATTTTGTGATTTAATGTTTCATATCCATTTATCGATTATTTTGTTTTTCTGTAAAATATTCTACTTCCGCGTTATGTACGTATGTAAATGTTTTATAAAGATAAATTTGTTGATTTTGGTGAGATTTTGGAACTAGCTCGAATCAAGTTTGGAAAATGAACTTGTTAACTTTCATATATCTTTATATAATAATAAAAAGAAATAAATTTCTACTATATAATAGTAATGTTCTACATCGATACACATCATGTGCATGGTCTTGAGCAAGTAAAGGAAATATGATATTCATGGATAATTTCGTAAAAGCACTATTGCTAATGCGCATTTAATATACACGACAAGTTTTTTTAAAATAGACATGTTTCGACATCTCATGATGCCATCTTCAGTATGAGTGAAATAATAAGTGATACAGGGTTCATATAAAAGTAATATGATACATAAATTACAACAATAAAAGGAAATAATAAAAATTAATGGGGAGCATCCGAGCGTATTATAAACTAAATATTGTATTGAATTTAAAAACTTGAACATTAATTGAATCAGGGATTGGGTCTTTAAATGAGAAAAAGTTTTTCATTTTGAATGATGTAAAAATTAGTCGAATGTCAATATCTGTACAGAAGCGTTTCATAATGTTTATAAGTCTGCGTTGTGTGTGTTGTGATGTTTGTGTTGGTCGTGATCGTCTTGTCAGGAGTTTCGGTGTCTAGTTTCGGACATTACTCACAACACACACAACGCAGACTTACAAACATTATGAAACGCTTCTGTACAGATATTGACATTCGACTAATTTTCACATCATTCAAAATGAAAAACCTTTTCTCATTGAAAGACCCAATCCCTGATTCAATTAAATCTATGGTGGTATATGAATTTAATTGCGCGGGATGTAATTGCCGATACATTGGCGAAACTTCGCGCCATTTATCCACCAGAATTAGGGAACATACCACAACAGACAAAAACTCTCATATCTACCGACACCTTCTTAAATCTCACTCATGTAAAACCAACTATTCACTCTCTTGCTTTAAAATCATCGACACTGCCGACACCTCATTCACCCTTGAAATCAAAGAAGCACTCCAAATTAACAAAACTAACCCTGACCTTAATGTTCAAGTTTTTAAATTCAATACAATATTTAGTTTATAATACACTCGGACGCTCCCTATTAATTTATCTTATTTCCTTTTATTGTTGTAATTTATGTATCATATTACTTTTATATAAACCTTGTATCACTTACTATTTCACTCATACTGAAGATGGCATCATAGATTGTCGAAACATGTCTATTTTAACTTGTCGTGTATATTAAATGCGCATATTCATGGTCACGTGACGTGTGGGATACTTCATATAACATTAACATAATTTATGATCACATCAGAGAATAGATATCTTAACAGAAGGTCCACTTGTGTAAGAACCTATTACCAACCAATAAAGAGACACTATTGGCAAACCGAGAATCAAATATAAGAAGAGTTCATTTCTACAGTAAAATATAAACACTAAAATAAAGCACTAGCATCAAACTTTGTATTTTCACCAATGCAAGACAATAACCAGAACGTTAATTTGGGGAGGGAGGAGGAGTGAAAAATGTTTACAAAGGAAATTATTCGTCATTATTTTCTGTGTCTCAGGCTAAATTTTCCAACGAGATGCATAAATATGCAGTGCTTTAGCTCCGTAGCAAATATCTTTGAACAAATTCATGCAATAAAAAATTCGTTGCTTAATGATAGAACGACAAACACAAAGTTAAACCAAGGCCAACTTTTACAGTTTTACCACAGAATTCAAAAACCTCACGATTTTTTATGAGCAGGATGAACAGTTCGACATATTCCAACTTTATTCGTTTTTAACAAACAATCGCTTTAAGGACAGCAAACTAATAAATAATGCAACATACATGATTCTGACCGTAATCGAGAGTGATTCTGAATATAATAGTGGAAATGGCGATCCATTATGATCCATTATGATCCATTATGATCCATTGGAACTTTAATACCATTTACATTTGTTCTATAAGAAATAAATGTTAATAAATGTGTTATTTGCGTGAGATTAAAAAATCACAAATTAAACAATTATGGATTCCACGTAAAGGCTGTAAAATTATGAAGAAAAAACTCTTCACATGCTAGACATGGAACAAAGGGCAAGAAACACAAAGGTTTATCCTATTCTATTTTAGTATCTCTTCCTCTACTAACATGCGTCTTAGAGGACTTAACACGATTTACAGTTAAGAAATAAAGATTCCACAGGTGCACTCTACATTGAAATGACGTCTGGCAAAGTAAAAGTTTGTAAAAACTTTTATCATCCATCTGAAAATTGTCGAAAATTTGAGCCTTTCAATATTTTGTTGCCACAGACCTTTCCATAAAACGCCGGGAAATTAATCTCCGACAGTGCAATGACATATTTGTAGGTTGCGTAGAAATTAAAGCGTCCTGGAATTACTGCCATTTAGACAAACTTTATATCGACTTAACTCTTGGCTATAACTCTTGACAAAATTCAAGCGTCATAAGGCAGAATTATAAAAAGTCTTAAATAAAAATAAATTCGGAAACCATACATACCGTATTTAATAAGAAAATACTGAAAATTCCCTACCTCTCCATCGTTGTTGTATAAAAATGTCGAGACTATTTAGCAACTGCTTCTGCTTCTGGTTAAAATTGTTTATAGTATTTGTACAATAAAATTTGTTGAGAATTTGATTGGTTGGTAAAAGGAAAGGGTTTTTTCTTCCGGTATAGTGTAGGAGCCTTTTTCGTAGGGATGGGGGTAACATATCTCACGTGACCGGAAGCGTAAATCATTTAAATTATTCCACAGAATCGACTAGAACGCCGCACCTGAGATATCATGTAGTTGGTTGCGTCGTTTTTAATCTTTCTGAATTTGTGAGGTATGTTGATTTTAAAGTTTATTCGCCTTTATGTAATAGTGTATTTTACTTTATGATTTAATGTTTTGTGTCCATGTATCAATTGTTTTGTTTTGATGTCACGAATATTGTAGTTAAATATAACTTATAAATTAGTGCCACGTATGTTTTATATGGATAAATTTTCTTCATTTTGGTGGGATTTTCAAACACAGATAAATTTTGGATACATTACACGTGGAAAATACGACGTTTCTCACATCAATACCAATTTACTCCAATCGTTTATTTTAAATTATATTAATACAGCAAAGTTGATAAATTAACGTTATGAGTTCAAATGATGACACGTCAGAGAATTTCAGTTATGCATGTTTATTATGTACTGTAGTTTTTTTTGTTATGGTCTTTTGTAGAAGTAAAAAACTGTTTTTATTCTTTTATTACTTTTTATCTAAATCTCAAGTTCAACATATTTCGCACCATCAACAAACAACATACCAGATTTTAAACATCTTTGGTGAATTTGGATATGTAAATTAATGTAAAACCCTACTATGATCGATTAGTGTTCAATTTAAGCAAAACATTTACAACATTAGTGTTTTTTACATCATTTTCATTTTTTATCGTCTCGCTGTTATGAACAGAATTCAATATTTTATAATAAAAACAGCAGGTGATTGAAATTTAACATTTAGGGAACATTCCAATTTCGTTATTATCAAGCAGAAGCAAAGACATCATGTAGTTGGTTGCGTCGTCTTTAGTCTTTCTGAATTTGTTAAAGTAAGTTGATTTTGAATTTTACCTGTCATAGTGTCATTGTTTGTTCTTATGTCTAGAAATTTGTTATATTTGTCATAAAAAACCTGAATTTTCATTTTCGTGGTGAAATTCGCACTTCATATGTTTTGATACATCTGTTGATTTTGGTGGGATCTTCCCAATAACACATTGGATAATTTATCATTTCAAAATACTGACTTTTCTTGAATTATCACCAACAATTAATTTCATTAGTTTTTTCAAATATCGTTGGTACGGCAGGGTTAGAAAATCAACAAGATGAATCAAAATTATGACACGTCACAGAATTTCAGTTATGCATATCATTATGTGCAATAATTTTAATTTTATCTAACATGGCTTTTATCAAGAATAATTTTTTTCTTATTCACATAGTCATCTATCTACTTATCTTATTCCTAACACAGATGATGACATAAAAACGTTTTGCTAGGTATGTCTTTAGAAATTGTGCCTACTTGGAGTGAAAAGCTCACTTCTTCACGTGATAGTGCACGTGATTTTTTCTGGTCTATAATTTTTAAACTTGTTGTAAGATAGACTATATAAAATATTTGTTTGCGTCAAAACTTCAAAAATCAACAAAACTTTGCATGATGAACTGTCAAGACCAAACGCTATCAATTTTGAATTATCTCTGATTACTTAAATGTGACAAAATTATTTAAAATTAGCGACTTTCAGATTAATTACTCTGATATTCCCTTTTTAAATAAAGACTGCCCCTAAAATCTAGAACCCCCTAACATTTACTTGTTTCTCACGCCACTGAAACAAATTATAGTAAACTGTGAAAGGTTTATTTGCATAAAGCTGCAAGTCAAAACTTCTTTGTGTTTACTTCACTCATAGCTAAAATAAAAATTGCATTTCATATTT